AATAATTGTTGAATATCGCTACAATCTATATGTTTTTGAAATCTGCATGGTTAGAGCATTCCATTTATGCAAAAATTATTGAAATCAGAGCATTTTAACAAAATTGTGTATACAGAGTGATCCAAATAAATTATTTCAAAATACAGAGTGATTCAAATGACAAAAAAAAATAAATTGTTTAATATCGCTACAATCGATATGTATTTGAAATCTACATGTTTAGAGCATTCTAATAATGCAGAAAAAATTGAAATCAGAGCATTTTAAAAAAACATAAATTTTTTTTTAATTATACTAGATTGATGTATGTAATAAAAAAAATTTTGACTGTTCGATATTCAGCATTGTTTATTTCAATTGCGTAATTATAATTATATTATATTATAACTATCAACCAGCTCGTATTTTTTTAAGACCATTTTGAATTTAATAGTAAAGAAATATTAAAATCTTCTATTTAACTTTCGAAAGTAACTCTTGAAATTTGCCTGTTAGGCATTACTTCAGAGCGGCCCACGCCGTCTATACCACGTTGTGAATCAGCCTGAAATAATCAAGAAAGATAATACAATTATTTTTGCAATTGAGGGTATTAATAAAAAAAATGTAATTATTGTTTTTCTTTAGTATTGGATTCTTCAATTATCAGTGAGTGTCATAAATAATATTATTCAACAAGACAATTAACTATATAGGTATTAGGTTAATAAGAAAACGTATTTCTATTGTCCTTATTGTTTGTAACAATTTGCCTGATTCCTTATTTACTGAACACACTGTTCACCTCGTCANTTTATTCACAGAACAATTTTTAACAATTCAGAAATTCCAGTAATAATAGTATTTGGGGGAAATACGGACGGTGAAATTTTAAAAAGACTTAACATAGAGGTTAAAATTCTTAACATTTCTGCAACGGTTTCTAAAANGAATCTAAGTTATTTTGTACATATTTTTAATTTATTATTATATACAATATTTTTTAAACAAAAAATTTTAGTTAATTCGTTAGAAATACAATTTAAGTATTTATAATAATATAGTTTTATGATATTTCTATAGCTTTGGACAAAAATAAGGAAGGTATGTTATCGATTAAAAAAAAAAATAACAAAAACGTCTTTTTCTAAGCAATTAATAACATTCAAATTTTTATTGTAGAATTGAATAAAATTGATGAAGGTAATTTTTTATTTATTAATGAAAAAAATACACTTATTTTTTAATTTCAAAATAATAATAATAAATTCAATAAAATAAAAAAAAGTCTTACTTTAAGCGCTTAAATAACATTTAAAATTTACATTGTTTAGACTTTAGTAAAAAATATGATGGTTAATATATCATTTATTGAATCTAATACGTGGAAGTTATACGAGATTTGTTAAATAATATTTTTTTTTACTAACATGTACAAAATAAAAGTTGATTTCTTTTTTGATACATAAGAAATATTAAGTTATTGTAAAAAAAAAAATTATTTCATAAGTTAGACTTTAAAGAGAACTTTCAAAAATTAAAAAAGAACTTTTTTTTATTATACTATATTGAAGTATGTAATAAAAAAAATTTTGACTGTTCGATAACCAGCGTTGTTTATTTCTATTGCGTAATTATAATTATATTATATTATAACTATCAAGCAGCTCGTATTTTTTTAAGACCATTTTGAATTTAATAGTAAAGTAATATTAAAATCGTCTATTTAACTTTCGAAAGTAACTCTTAAAATTTGCCTTTAGGCATTACTTCAGAGCGGCCTACACCGTCTATAACTCACACCAGCACGTTGTGAATCAGCCCAAAATTAATCAAGAGCTAATTCGCAACGAATACGGTGCAAGTTGTTTTTAAAGTAGCCGTGCCCGGACATCACCTGGGTGAGACAATAAGTCATCTCAACGTGAGTCCGGTCTACCCACCTGTGCAACCGATCGGATTCTATGAGGGACGCGATCCACTCGCCTCTCGTCGTTTCCTCCAAGAGGTGAGTGCGCCACCGAAGCATGGTCATCCTCCTAAACGCCAGTCGGTCCTCGGATTCGAGGGTCCGGCCGCGTTCTCGGCAGAGCTCATGCATGGCGGCGCGTTCCTCAGCGAGCAGGTCGTCGGGCGGCAGTGACGACAGAATACCCCACCACTCCGGACACTGTTCGGTACGCCGAAACTGTCCGTTTCGTCGCCCGCCTCTGCACCCTAAGCAGGACTTCATGGTTTTTGGACGAATATTCAAGAGTATCCGCCTAAAACGGAGACCTGTGTAGGAGAACCGAGTGTACGACGCTGACTAATAGTGTCCGCCTCAACTCCCTCGGCCCTCTCAGATTGGCCAAGAGTCCCACCAAGCTATTCATGACTTTTTGGGTCTGTTGGGCCGCACGAGTAATTTTTGCATAACTTTTGAGCCATTACATTTATATAATAAAAGCTAAGACCAAAAAAAAAATCTATTGTTTTTGGATTATCAGTAAATATCATAAATAAAATAAAATGATCGATAAGACCAATATCTATACTGCAATTAGCATAATTTAAAAATTTAAACTCCTTTTATTAAAAATTTGTCTTATATTTATAACTGTAAGAAAATTTTAGTTAATTCATAAGAAATACAATTTAAGCTTAAATACAAATTATGTATAGTTAAAATAATATAAATTTATCGTATTTCTATAGTGTCGGAGAAAAATAAGGAAGGTATGTAAATAAATTTTAAAAAAAGTTAGAAAAACTTTTTATTCTAATCACTTAAATAACAATATACAATAATAAAATTATAGAATTTAATAAAATTGATAAAGGTAAATTTTTTATTTATTAATAAAGACAATATAGTTTTTTTTTTTTTAACTACTTTATTCATAGATTAAATATTATTTACGATTTTAATACAGAATTAATTTATTTAGATAAGATTATTTATTTAAATAATGAAATAAAGTAATATCAATCGAAGTGAATTAATTAAAGAAATAATTGTAATGAAACGATTAATTAATATTTACGTATTTTACATAAAATTTAATTAAAATGACGATGTTAAGATCAATATAAAATAAATTTTAAATATTACTAAATACATTATATTACGAAATAATACTCTTACTCTAAGCATTTAAATAATAGAAAGAAAACGTATTTCTATTGTCCTCATTGTTTGTAACAATTTGCCTGATTCCTTATTTACGGAACACACTGTTCACCTTATGAATCTAAATTATTTTGTACATATTTTTAATTAATAACTACACAAAAAATTTGAGTTAATTCGTTAGAAATACAATTTAAGTATTTATAATAATATAGTTTTATGGTATTTCTATAGCTTTGGACAAAAATAAGGAAGGTATGTTATCGATTAAAAAAAAAAATAACAAAAACGCCTTTTTCTAAGCAATTAATAACATTCTAATTTTTAATGTAGAATTGAATAAAATTAATGAAAGTCTTATGAAAGTTATTTTGTAAATATTTGGAATTTATAAACTTTATTCATGTTTTTATGTTATATCTTATGTAATACTTGCTTTATAATAAGTAATATTGCTACACGAATTTTTATTTAGAAATTTATTAATTGCTATCAAATGCCTATAACTGTTATGATAATTCAGTATGAATAAAAAGCGACTTTACTCGAAGGTAGTAATCCATTAACGACTGTTACATTATTATTATTATTTTGATTTTTTCCTGTCAACACTAATCCACGTTGCTGAACCTGGACATAAAATCTCCAGTTCACAATATATTTTATTTTATATAATATACATAAATTATAATTATTTCAATAAAATTATATTTTAAGTATAAATACGCCTTATATATACTAATAATAAAATTTTATAATATTTTTATAGCTTTGGACAAAAGCAATGAAGAAGGTATGTTAATCAATAAATAATATGTGATGTTGAACATATAAATATATGATGGTTAATATATTATTTATTAAATCTAATATGTGGATGTTGTCGTGACACTATAACAATTTCATTCGTGATTCATTAAATAATTTTTCATTAACTTGTACAAAATAAAAGTTAATTTATTTTTTGAATCATAATAAATATCAAGTTTATTGTAAAAAAAAATTATTTCATAAGGTAGACTTTAGAGGTAACTTTCAAAAATTAAATAAGAACTAAAAAAAGTTTTTATTATACTAGATTGGAGAATGTAATAAAGAAAATTTGACTGTTCGATAACCAGCATTGTTTATTTCTATTGAATAATTATAATTGTATTATATTAAAATTAACAACCAGCTAGTATTTTTTTAAGACCATTTTGAATTTATTAGTAAAACAATATTAAAATCTTCCATTTAACTTTCAAAAGTAACTCTTAAAATTTTCCCTCTAAAATAAATGAAAACAATTATTGAAAAGTAATGTTAAAAGAAATAATTTAAAAGTAATGTCTCATTAATATTTACGTATTTTACTACAATATTTGATAAAAATGAAAATGATAAGCTTATTTTGAATAATCTAAGTGATTGAAAATTAAACGTAAAAACAATTTAAAAGTGTTGTTTGTTTATTATATCATAAATGTATAAAATTCTTAAGAAAAAAAGAATATATTTACACCTAACTAAATGAATAAATTACAGCATATTTATAGCTCTACAATCAAAATAATAATATAGTATAATAGTAATTGATCACTTGTGGCTAATATTATTTTAAATATTAACATTTATGTATGTGTTTAGGGCAGTTAAATATTTTTTATAATATTTTGTTTTAAATTAATATATAAAAAAAACATATTTTTAATTTTTATTATAATTATTATCAGTTTATAAATTTGTTACAGAATCGGATAGTTATGGTATGTAAATTTATTAATAAGTTAAAGTAATTAAAAAAAAATTATTCCATATCTAATTCAACATCATACCTCGAAATAAATATTATGCCATCTATTTCTATCTTCTGCTAACTTTCGCCAATGACTTTTTTGATTCCACTGTACCGCATCCCTATTAATGCAGTCTTCCCATCTTAAGGATAAACAATTGAATAGTTCTTTGAGCCTCCCTGGAACTGCTGTTATGTATTACTTCAGAGTGGCCCATACCGTCTATAACTCATACCACCACGTTGTGAATCAGCCCGAAATTAATCAAGAGCGGATTCGCAACGTGGTGTGGCCCGTCCCGTTAACCCGTTCCCAAAGTGGGAACTATTAGGGAGGACTGGCAAAATAACTCACATGACAAAAAACATAACAAAAAAATAAGAACTTAAGGCACCGGCCTAAACCAGCGCCTCAGGTCCTCTCGTGCCGGGCGGCGTGGTTGCCTCTGTCTCAGGGGTTCCGTTTCCTCCTTCATTAACAAGATGGATTCTGCGAACGCCTGGACGAGATTCCACGCCTCCCGGCTCCTCAACATTAGATCCATCATGGACCCGACTTGGAACATGGACCCTAGTCATAATTCTAAAGAGTCTTGCTCCTGGTCCCACGCCAAGCACCGGAAGAGGGTGTGCTATCAGCCTCTCCCAGACGATCCGAACAGTGGTCAGGGTTACTACCCTAACCTATTTCTAGTAATTTCGAGAGGATAAAATTCTTTTTAATAAGAAAAGTATGTGTATCAGAACTGTTACGAAACCGTCGTAGAAACGTATCACACATTGCACTCGGTAATATTTAATCGTTTTAGTCGGCAAAAAATTTCAATATGAGTTTATCTCATTGTTTAATTTTTTTTTGTTTAAATGATATTACTAAAAATAACAATTAAATAAAAATTCACACAGCATTGAATAAATAATATAATTATTAAAAATAATCAATTTATTCACCCTCTAGAGTCAAATAAATAATGAATAAATAAAATGAAATTTGGCACATACATTTTTTATAATTATATTTTAATTTAGTATTTATAAAAATAAATTCATTATTTTATTAAATGGTTTTTTTTTTTGAAGATTGTCCAATTTGTTTGCAAGAACTTGGCGAAGATTTTACTGAACATGAATGTGGTAACAAATATCATATAGAATGTCTTCACCGTTGGGAAGTAGAAAGCAAATACCATAATTGTCCTGTTTGCCGAGAAATATTATATCCTAGTAAGTATTTTAAGTATAATTCTGTGAACTATTCCGTATAAATCAAATACGTATTATATTATTTTTTATAATATAATATTATTATAAAATGATAATAATTTATGAGTATGAAAAACTGAATGCAGTTTTTACAGGTATTTTAATTTTAATTTTATCTTTTTCTATTTCTATTTATTAAATAGGAACTCCTTAATTTTCCATTGCTTTATTACTTTAAATATAACTGATTTAACTGAAATTACTCTCACCAACCTTGTAATAAAACTTGTGAGTAATGTTATTATTATCTTCCATTAATGGTAGATTTCACATACTCATGTACTATTTGCTAATACACTAGTCATTGGCTGGTTAGTATATTTTTAAGTGAATGGCAACTTTTTATACACAAAGTCTCATTCAAAACCATTCCTAGGTTTTTAGTTGAAATGTCCAAAAACTATATAAAAGAAAGATTGTCTATAGTGTTTATAATAAACCTTTTGCTAATATAGGCGAAAAATAAATTTAAAAAAAATAAGTTTATACAATCTTAATTACATAAAAAAAAATAAAAATGTTAGGTTTTGTAGCGTATCGATAAGCAATGTGAAAGACCCAGTGAAAGTTGATATTTTTTATGTTAAATACGGATAAAAAAACCCAACCCAGAACAGGGGGGTCGCGGCACAGTTGTGACGTGGTATAGTTGGATCAAGTATAATGATATCTGACAGTGATTAAAATCACTATCAAAAATAAACGCTTCGATGCAAATCTTTAGATAGTGTTTAATTTAAAAAAAATTGGTGTTTTATTCCAAAAGCTACTTGATCTGCTGGTTCCTTATTAATATCTCGATAAAGATAAAGTATGTCAAA